GATGCATGGACATAAAAAAACAAAGATCTATCGATCTACACTATTTTTGAAGCTTTAAAATTTATAAATAACGATGAAAATATATTTTAAGACTATCACAAAGATATCCAGTATTAAGACTATATTTCTCGACACTATTTGATGGTAGGCTCTAATTTGATTGTTTGGAGCCTAGACTCTATACAGACTGCACCCAAATAATAATAATAATGCCCTTTAAGGAGGAAATAAAAAAAACAAATTGAACCAAAAACGAAGTATTAATCTCTCTCGAGTTCACCTTCTCTCTTGATGTCTCACTTGGTTTACCCAAACTGATTTCAATGGCCTAGACTGTTATGATCCTTTAGAATGAAGAAAGGTTTTAAAAAACCGATCAGTGACCCGGATTGCCCCTCTGGATGTTTGATATGGATTGGCAGATCGGTGATCTGGATCAGCCACCACCAAAAAAAATAAAACAAAATTTAAAAAAATTAAGTGGGGCCGGTTCTCTGATAAAACATGTAAAAAACCAGGCGGTTCATCGATTAAAACATCTCTCTCTCTCTCTTTCTCTCTCTCTATATATATATAAAGTATGGAGCCAATTCGCAACGGTTCTCTGATTGAACCGGCCGCTTTTGATGAAGAACTGGTACAGAGTCATTTATTGGGAGAACCAGCTGATTCTTGATGTTTTAATGGAACCCAATCGGCCCAATCAATCCCCGATTTGGATCAACCGGTTCCGATCCAAATCACCAATTTTTTATACACAAGAATGAACTTCATTCAATGAAGTGAATACTTGAACACGTAGGAGTCACATGCATCTTTTGGTTACCGTTTCCTTCTTTTACACCATCCCATAGTTTTATACCCACATTCAGGATGGCAGAGCCTCAGAACCTGAACAAAAGAAAACCGATTTGTATTTCCATATGAACCATGCCTCCTTATTGTAATATTTTTTCGCTTCTAAAAACAAAAACGGTGTCGAAAAAATATCTAGTGATAAGAAGTTGCTCTTCTCTTTCTTCTTTCTCACTCTTAAAAGAAGCCCACGGACAATTTTTCATGTGTCAGTACTAGCTTTATTGCCATGCTCCATAGAAAATATTGCAAGAGTTAATATGAATGTTAAGTTCTTAAAAAACGGATCGGTGATCTCGTTTGGCTACCTAAAAACTTACATCGAATAGTGGATTGGGGATCTAGGTCGCAGAATCAGCACTATCGGACGGTTATGGCTTCAAAAAAGTCTTAAAAAATCACTAAAAATCCCTAAATATAGTATTTTTTTGAGTTTCAAAAAAATTGGGGTTATTACATTATATATTTTTATTATTTTGTAAAAATATGTTAATATTAAGACGTTGTTTTCTTGTTTGAATATCTGAATAATTAGTACTTATAATATAATATTTATAATATTATATTAAATATAATTCAAGAAATTATTAAAAAATACTTTCATATTGTAAAATTTAAAAACATACCCTCGATAAATTGAAATTAGTATCATATTAAACATTCGTTAATTCTCTCTACGCATCCAAAATTATAACAACCTTACCAACTGTAATACTATATATTGAAATTGGAATTATTACTTAATATTTTATAATTATTCTTCTATATAAATAAGTATAAATTTAAACTTTACCTTATAATGTCATCTAATTTAAAAAATTCTTTATTTACCTTGCAATTTAAATATAAATAAACTAATAAATAAAATACAAGATTTGATTACCAATATATAATTATTCAGTATAATATTATGTCAAACATGATTAAAAATATATTAGAAAACTATATTATAAGATTAAAAATAAATATAATATCTGGTATAAATTTTGATGTTATGACATTTAAAAAAACAGATCTTTCAGAAAACAATTTTATCACAAAAACAAGAAAATAATGACATAAAATTTGAGAAAATTGAAATAACGAAAAAAAAATTGAATCACACGACATATGTATCAATAAGTTATATGCATAAAAAACCCCACTTATTCAAGAAATTATTAATTTTTAGAACATGATTTCTCAAAATCCTCGAAATCAGTTCGCATTACGGTCCATAACATGATATTTGTAATATGATGAAAATAGAAAATAAATAAATATATTTATGCATACAATAAGGAATAATAAATAGAGCAACTTGAAAACTGATTCTAAAGTGGTCATATTCAATCTAGTGCTATGTGAGTTGGTGTCAATTTTTTTTAAAAGGGAAATATCTTCATATCTTCTATTTTTAAGTATCATTTCCTAATAAACCCAAGGTTTTAAAAGATATCTTCTAACCCTTGACAACTTTAAATCTATTTTTTAACCTAAACAAATATGAAAAAGACATACTCTTTCTAAACTCAATCTTTTCTCTCTCTTCACTTATATACCCCAAACTTCTCTTTTTTTCTCTCTTCTTGTATCTCTCACTCTCTCTCCTCCCGTCAAACTTAAAAATAAACCTTTTTTCTAAAAGGTGTGGTTTCTATAAAGTTGCAACCTTAACCAATCTAATTAAGGTTCACCTCTAAATTTTATCATAACATATAATTTTGTCGTAAAACTTTTCTAGGATTATCTTAAAACCTATTTTCATATCTAATTAGAAAATTTTAAAATCCAAAATGGTTAAAATCAAGTAGATATATAACCATATGAAAATCGTGAAAATGGACAGTCATGATAATGTGTTGCAAGATGCATTATATTTTGGACTCAAAAACTTTTTTTTTAATATTCATACATCTCGATATCGTGATGATCAATTATAGGGTTTTTCAACATTAAAACAACCTTTCCAGTAGATTTTTGAGGTGCATTTGTGATTCTACATTTTAAGGTTGCAATCTTATATAAACTTTCTCTTTTCTAAACCCTTCTCTCTCTTTTCGTTCTCCCTCTCCCCATCTCTCTCTCTCTCTCTCTCCGTATTTCCTATTTTTGCTCTCCCAATCCTCTCTCTCTTTCCCTATTCCACTATTTTTTCTCTCCCAAGCCTCTCTCTCTTTCCGTGTTCCCCATTCTTTTCTCTCCCCCCTTTTACTCTCTCTCTTCCCATACCCTCTTCCCAATCTCTTTCGTCCCATCTCCCAAACCCCCCTCTCTCTCTCCCCCCTTATATTTTCTTTATTTTTCTCTTCCTGTCCTCTCTCTCTCTTTCAATATTTCCCATTAGTTTTATGTCCTCATGTCTTCTACTTTCTCTTTACACCCAACTCTTTCTTTGTAATATAAACATTTAAAATTATATGGAGAATAGAGATAGAGCATAAAGCTTCAATGGACGTTAGTAAATATTTTCAGGAACCAATATAGATATGATTTTCAAAAGACATTCTCTGAGTGTTCAAAGGTTCCCAAAACACATCCTCTGGAGTTGACAGTCAAATTGGAGCTTTCAGATGGGTTGGCAATCAAATTGGGTTCTCCAATTTGTCTATCAAATTCACCATTGATTGGATTATGGAATTTGTCTATTACGGGGAGAGTGCATTGTCTATCATGAGGAGAGATCATGGGGAGAGATAAAGAGTTGGGGGAGTATGGGAAGAGAGAGAAAGTAAAAGGCATGGGGAGAGAAATTGGGGAAAATATGGGGAGGGGTTTGGCAGATGGGGAGAGAGAAAAAGTGAAAGGAGAGAGGTTTAGAAAAGGAGGTTGGCTTTTAAAAAAAACATGTCTTTTTAGATTTGTTTGGCCTAAAAAAATAGATTTAAATTAGCTCAAACGGTTAAAAAAAATCAAAACTATAATGAAATGAAACCTAGAGATATGAGGTATGGAGATAATTTCCCTTTTTTAAATATCCCATGAGTTAATGTTATTTACATCAAAATTTATTCCTCCATTCGCCCGATTTATTTACCCCATAGAAGTGGTACAAATACCCTCATTTATTCATCCCATAGGGAAGAAGGAAGACTTGTCCCAAATCACAAACTTGAGGCATGCAAAGCCTCAACAAAGGAAATTTGATAAAAATGTCAGAACCGGTTGAGCCGTCCGGTTCACATCGATAATCCTGATGTTAAGTGAGAATCAGCTCTACCGATTCGTGATTTGATTCGATGATTTTTAAACTTCTTGCATGCCTTTTGTCGAATTTTCTTTCCAATTCACAAGTGAAAGACAAGGGTCCAGATTTTGTATGGGGACGGATGGCAGCGATCGAGAATCTTAATTGTTCATTATGAGCTTAAGTTGAAGGATGCGGTTTGTATAGAGCCGAGGCTCTAAACAATCAAAGTAAAGTGCAACTTAAAAAAGTGTCAAGAAATGTGGTTTCAATATTGGAAATTTTTGTGATATCCTTAAATATAAATTTTAGAACTTCAAAAATAGTGTAGAATGAGCAGATCTATGAAAACTTAAAAATCTTGAAAATTAACGGTCCAAAAATACGTTACAAGATGGACTATTTCCAAAACTTGAAATCTATTTTTTTCTCATGTTCATGCATCTTGATGTCGACATGATCAATTTGAGGATATTTGAGCATCAAAACAACCCCTTACAATGGAATTTTTGAGGTGGGCGCTAATTTGATTTTTTGGAGCCTCGGCTCTATATAAACTTTCTCTTAATTTTTGAATGAGTGATTTGATATTCATATATCCCAAAGAAGCAATGAAGTAAGAATAACTTCTCAACCAAAAAACACTTAGCCCTAATTACCTCTACAAAAAATGGATGGCAAATGGATGGCAGTGATCGAGAGCACATGTCCACATCTAAAGAATCTTGACTTTTCATTATGAGCTCAATTTGAATGAGTGATATGATCATATACCCCAAAGAAGCAATGAAGAAAGGACAACTTCTCAACCAAAAAACACTTCGCCCTGATTACCTCCACAAAAAATGGCCTTCCAATTTACTAGGGCAGAATAGGTGTCAGAATCAGTCTCTTTCTGCACTTTATTAATCTTTGCCAACCTTTTATTATAAATTCAAGAATAGCCATTAAACGAGACAGAAGCTACATCAGAACTCTCTGTTCAGACATTCATCAATCTTAGCAGGTAGAAAGCTTCTCACCTCTTCCATTACTTTTCATAACCTACATATTTCCCATGTATAAGGTAAGACCCATTAGCTAAAGTAAACAAAGAACTTCTCTGGTTCAATGCATGGTTTTGCTTCTTAACCACATTTTGCATCAACTGTGGAGTTGATGCAGTAAGCTGCTGTGAAATACAACAGTTTGTGATGTTTGAATTTATTTTACGTTGTTTTCATGGTTTTTGATATGGATTTATCTTTGGTTTTAGGTGAGACAAGTAGTGCGAAGCTTTGAGTTTGAATGGAGGGACTTTTAAATGAACACCATGAAGCAAGAGAAGCATTTACAGTCAAGAAGGAAGAGCCCACCTTGGTTCCTCCGGAAAAGGAAACCCCGAAAGGGTTGTATTTTCTCTCCAATTTGGACCAAAACATTGCAGTGATCGTAAAGACTGTGTACTGTTACAGGGCAGTTGAGGAGAAGAGTGAAATAAAGCAAGCTTTAGCTAAGGTTTTGGTTGATTTTTATCCTTTCTCAGGCAGGTTAACTATAAGTTCAGAGGGAAAACTTATAGTTGATTGTACTGGAGAAGGTGCTTTATTTGTTGAAGCAGTTGCAGAGTGTGAGATTGAGAAGCTTGGTGATATCAGCCAGCCTGATCCCTCTACACTTGAGAAGCTCGTTTACGATGTTCCGGGAGCAAAAAATATATTAGAGATACCACCTTTGGTTGCACAGGTTTGTTGGCTCTTTGCTTTTGAATAGGATTTGGCAATCTTTTTGAGTCACTGAGTTTGCTTTTTTGTGTTTGTTGATTAAGGTAAAAATTTTCCTGTCGTGTATTAAAACAAAAACCTGATAAACATGAACAAAGTATGATATGCATTGACTCTTTATAATGATTTAGGTAACAAGGTTCAAGGGTGGAGGATTTGTTCTTGGGCTGGGAGTGAACCACTGCATGTGTGATGGGCTATCAGCCATGGAGTTTGTGAACTCATGGGCTGAAACAGCAAGGGGTTTACCTCTCTCTCTTCCTCCATTTCTAGATAGGGGCCTCCTTAAAGCCAGACCCCAACCCAAGATAGAGTTCCCCCACCATGAATTTGCAGAGATAGAAGACCTTTCAAACCTCTCTCTGCTCTACCAAAATGAAGGAATCATATATCAACCCTTCTATTTTGACCCCAAGAAGCAAACCCAACTAAAGAAATCAGTAATGAAGGAGACCCCAACTCTCAAAAATTTCACAACTTTCGAGTGCTTAGCAGCCTTAGTTTGGAGAGCACGAACAAAAGCTCTTCAGATGAAACCAAACCAACAGACTAAGCTTCTCTTTGCAGTTGATGGCAGGTCTAAATTTGATCCCCCATTGCCAAAAGGTTACTTTGGAAATGCCATTGTTCTAACTTATTGCCTTTGCAACACTGAAGAATTGACAGAGAAACCGCTAAAGTTAGCGGTGGAAATGGTTCACAATGCTATCCAGTTAGTTAACGATAACTACATGAGATCGGCGATCGATTTCTTCGAAGTTACAAGAGCTAGACCCTCTCTAACTGCCACTCTTTTGATCACTGCATGGAATAGATTGGATTTCCAATCCACAAACTTTGGGTGGGGAGATCCTTTTCAATCAGGGCCAGTTACTTTGCCCGCAGATGAAGTGGTATTGTTTCTCTCTGATAAGAAGCAAGAAAAGGGTATCAATGTGCTCTTGGGCTTACCTGCAACAGCCATGAAGACTTTCCAAGACTTGATGCAAATCTAGCCAAAACCAAAATCTGGACTCTCTGAAAGTGTGGAATGCAAAAATAGTGACAAGATGTGTAATAAAGTCCTGCATATGTTAGCTGTCTTGAGTTTGTATAAACTCTGCAAGGTGATATGTAATACAGTCCTGCAATGAGGGGTTCAATGTCATAAATATTGGTTTGATTATAGTACCTAAAGGGAACAACAAAATTGACCTTTACCATATAAAACTTTAGAGCATACAAGCAAATATTCCATAACTGAACTATTCTTATTTTTTTGAGAAATATGGAGCTAATAATAAAATCTGTGATTTGCTTCAGTTTTTATTCTTAGTCCCAAAGACACTGAATTCCAAAATATGGCTGAGCACTATTGATTCATCATGTGCCTCTCTGTTTTCCTTCCTGTTTTAGAGTGAGGGAAGAAAAGGAATACTCTATTTTTAACAAGGGAATAAAAGTGGAATGATTTCTCAAAATGAATTATCAATTTATCACCTGCCCTCTTAACTTCACTGTACACCCACAAATTTAAGAACCCAAATGGATGTTTTATGGACATGAGGGATCATAAATTCCCTAGCTAAGAGAAGTTATATATATATATATATATTTAAAAAAGGATCTATACCATGCTTCCACGGGAGCATACTGCATGTTTATTTCTTAGGTGAAAAACCGACTTGGGAGAACTTTTTAAGGATCTGGTGTATATTAGATCCATTGTTTGCAAAATCGCCCGACCTAACTGCTAACCGCCTGGTTAGATCTGAACCGGCCAGTGGTCGATTCTGGTTTTGGGCGGTTAGGGTGATCAACTGGTACTTATCCTGACATCTCTTTTGGAGATTGTGTATTGTTAAATATTTCGTTTGACATGCAACCCATAGGAAGGCTTGGATTTTAACTGGAACTGACCATTTCATAAAACCCAAAGAAGTATCAACAATACGGACCTGATCCATAAAAAGGAGCCTAAATACTAATTTAACATAAAAAAGTCTGTCAGTTTCTGATTCCCATATGGCCAAGTCTTCAGCATTAGAAGAGATGTAAACTTGTTCAACTGTTGGATGAAATTATGAAACTGCGAAATAACAATATCCAGTAGCCTATTGTAGTGGCATCCGAGACCATACAATTAGAGGGGGAGAGAGAAATCAACTCTGAAAGTTTTGCATTAGGTTGAGCAACTCTGGCAAATAGGTCAGGATAAGTAGAAGAGAGAGGTGCATCACCAAGCCATTTGTTGAACCAAAAGATAGTGTTATGTCCATTGCCAATAAGCCATCTGATGTTGTTAAAAACAATATTTCTGCCGCTATAAATATCCTTCCAAATCTATGAGGTGAATTTGCCTCCTCTACTTTTAATTTAGTGGGTAAGATGATTGAAATTATATTTAGCAATTTGCACATCCTTTCAGAGATGAGAAGAGTCTTGAAAGAATATCCACCACCATTTGGATAGAAACGCCCAGTTTACAAGTTTAAGCTTTTTGATACCCAAACCCCTTAGTTTTGATGGCATACAAACATGGTCCCAGTTCACCAAATGAAACTTATTGTGGTTATCTTTCATATTACCCCAAATGAAGTTTCACATATATTTTTCAATAAGCTTGATTACTTCACTAGGTATTTGTAGGATTGACAGTAAGTAAATATGAAGATGTGTATAGGTGGATTTAACCAAAGTGATATGCCAACCAAAAGATAAAGTCTTGGTCTTCCATAGGTCTAATTGAACTTGATACATGTGAATAAGAGGGTCCCAGGTTGCACGAGTGAGCTTATGATTAGAGATAGAAACCCCTAAATATTGAAGGGGAAATTTCTTACCTTTGCAACCCAAAATAAAAGCAAGAAAATCCAAAAGGCTGTTAGAGGAAGGGATGTCCACAATTGAAATCTTATGGAAATTTACTTTGAGGCCCAAAGCTAGCTGGCAACATAGGAGGAATGTGCTCAGATTTTGCATTTGCACTTTATCGGTATCACAGAAAATCAGGGTGTTATCCGGATATTGCAAATGTGAAATAGTAGGCCCAGATGAAGAAACTTGAAAACCTGTAAGAAAACCTACATGTACAACACTTTTAAACATCAGGCTAAAACCTTATGTTACTAAGGAAAAAAAAAAGGAGATAGAAGGTCTCCTTGTTTAATGCCCCTAGAAGCATGGAAGGACCCATTAGGAGATCCATTAATGAGAACCGAGAAATGAGCCGAAGACATGCACCCCCTCACCATAATAATCTGTGTATTGTGTGGGACAAGTACTTTGTGAATGCATATGGATCCAGGCCGGGACCCCACTCAACTAAGTTTCACGTGTATCTGGACTCGACGGACCTGGGTCGGGTCCATGTGATTTGGATCTGGACTCGGATTTGGGTCCGGTCCAGGCTATTTGGACCTAGACCTGGGTCTAGAAACTACAAAAAAAAAAAATCAACAATTTATTTTATATACTGTGGTATATATATTTTATATATTTGTATCTATTTTGTACTAAGTCGGGGACAACCCAGTCCGAAACCAACCCGACTCGATATGGTCCATGTCAGACCTGACCCAGTTCGACCCTACTTGACCCCGACCCAACTCCCTAGGTACAAAACCAGAACTAGAACCTAATGGGTACACGGGTCGACCCGACCCGACCCGTTTTCCACCCCAATACATGCATCACCAGAAGCATTATGTGATCACCTTATTTATTATCACTTTAACGACTATATTTGGTAAGTACACAACTTAGACATAGACATATGGTTTGCATGGGATTCGGAGGCAGGGATTGTAACTTTTGAAGCTTGTCACATAAAGGACAAACAAACAAACTTCGACTTTCCTTTTTAACATTTTGCATTGTCTCTTCATTGGCGTCACAGAAAATTAAGGTGTCATCTGGATATTGTAAATGTGAAATAGTAGGCCCAGATGAAAAAACTTGAAAACCTATAAAAAGACTTGTATTTAACATTTTTTAACATCAGGCTAAAACCTTCTGTTACTAAGGTAAAAAGAAAAGGAGATAGAAGATCTCCTTGTCTAATGCCCCTAGAAGAATCCATTAGGAGATCCATTAATAAGAACAGAGAAATGAGCCGAAGAAATGCACCTCCTCACCATAATAGTTTGTGCATTGTGTGGGACAAGTTCATTGTGAATGGATCTGGATCCAGGCCGGGATCCCACTCGATTAAGTTTCACGTGCATCTGGACCCGACGGACCTGGGTCGGGTCCATGTGACTTGGATCTGGATCCGGATTTGGGTCTAGGCTATTTGGACCTAGACCTAGGTCTAGAAACTAAAACAAAACAAACAAAAATCTATTTTATATACTGTGGTATATATATTTTATATATTTGTATCTATTTTATACTAGGTCGGGGACAACCCAATCTAAAACCAACCCGCCGATAGGGTCCATGTCAGACCTAACCCAATTCGACCCTGTTTGTCCCTGACCCAACCCACTAGGTACAAAACAAGAACCAGACCTGGACCCAGTTCAGGTCAACCTAGTGCGTACACGGGTTGACCGGGCCCGTGTGCCACCCCAATACATGCATCACCAGGAATTCTTTATTATCACTTTAAACTGCTATATTTGGTCGGTACAACTTACATGGAGGTATGGTTTGCACGAAGGTTCGGGGGCAGGGATTGTAACTTTTGAAGCTCGTCACATAAAGCACAAACAAACAGACTCCGACTTTCCTGTTTCACATTGATTGGTCAGTGGTATAGCCAAAGGGAACATTAAATTTGGAGCTTTAAAGCAATTGATCCAGGGACCGTCCTTGAAACATATTAAGGTTGTAATAGTTTAAAAGAATTTTGAAAGTCATACATAAGCTTTTATTGCCCGTAATAACACTCAAGCACTAAATTCAATGGACGGATTTTGTTGTTACAAGAAGCTTGTTTGTGTTTTTGAGATCGGTGACACCAAAATTATCACTCCATAGAGAAGTTCCCGTACTTTTTCTACTGCATAAAACCCCCCTCATCCAACCGTCTAATTTAGATCAAGTGAACCACTTACCATTTGATCTAAGATCTGACGTCTTAATGTATTTTATTTTTAGTTTTTCTTATACATGTTGTATGAATATGAAATTTGATATGTGCCATTATATCAATGGGCCGCACCTGAAAAAATATTAAAAACAATGTTTTGTTAAAATATAATAACCAAAATGCCCCTAAAAACTTTTAAGGATATTTTGGTTATTTTATTTTATTGTGAATATGTTTTTATATTTTTTACATATGCGAGCTTAAGAGAGGAGTGGACGTCCAAAATTTGATGTAAAATATTTCCTAAAAAAATTAAAAGTAAAACAGTGTTAGAGATGTGACATTGTGATTGGGGCCAACTCAACCGTCCATTTAAAATGGATGGTTGGATAAGGGAAAGTATATAATATCATTTTTTCCATTAAATTTAGGATAGTTTCTTTCTCACAAAATTTTGAGATAATTTCTACATCTAAAAATTTTCAAGTACTTTCTCTCATTAAAATTATAAAATATTTTCTCTCCCTAAATCTTGAAATTTGAGATAGTTTTTCTCTAAAACTTTTGAGATAGTTTCAATCTCTAAAAATATCAGGTACTTTCTCTCATTAAAATTTGATGTAGTTTCTCTCTCTCTCTCTCTCTCTCAAATTTTAAGATACATCACTCATTAAAACTTAAAATATGAGATTATTTTTCTCTCTAGAAAATTTGAGATAATTTCTCTCTAAAATGTTTTAGGTAGTTTCTCTGCCTAAAATTTAATATAGTTTCTCTCTAAAATTTTAAGATATTTTCTCTCTCTAAAATTTAAAATTTGAGATAGCTTCTCTATCTAAAAATTTAGAGATAGGTTCTCTATCTAAAAATTTTAAAGCATTTTCTCTCTCTAAAACTTAAAATTTGAAAGAGTTTCTCTCTCTAAAAATTTTAAGATAGTTTCTCTCTAAACATTTTGGGATATTTTCTCTCGCTAAAAGTTTTGCGTACTTTTTTTCTCTAAAACTTAAAATTTGATATAATTTCTCTCTAAAAAATTTGACATAAATAGTTTCTCCTTTTAAAATTTTGAGATAGTTTCTCTCTAAAATTTTTAGGTAGTTTTTTTATCTAAACTTAGACATAGTTTCTCTCTCTAAAATTTAAGATATTT